TCAGGAAGGGTTGTGATTGTGAGTTTATAAAATTTCTCGCAGTGGGTCGCAGTGAACTAAATATTGAAACCATTTTTTTTCAATCAATAAATGTCACTATTCGTCACTTTTTTATTGCTTTAAAGCCACTATTTGATCACTATTTTCGTTATTTTAGCCACTACTATTATGTAACATATCCACTACCAGCCCTGCTACAGTCTTTAAATGAATCATTTACCACAGTGGCCACTCTCAGAAGCTCTATATGCCCCCGGGGAACTTTCATGAAATTTACTGTGAATTTTCATGAAGTTCCAAGAGAACTTCCCTGAAGTTCGAAGAAAGTCCTTGATTTTTCCTAAGAACTGGTCTTTCCCTGAGAACATCCTGAACGTTCCCTGAGACCTTGCCCCGTAACGTGGGTAGATCACCTTTTCGTGGTACGTTACGGGATGTAAGATCTACCACCGATTCCTAGTCCTGACTACTTCAAACTAGTGGAACAGGATTTTTCAGTAATCCAAGGAACACATCTTAGTCCTTGTTACTTTTTATGCCTTGTTGATAGTTACTATACTTGGTTTTGTTCACCGAGGATCTTGAAGCAAGGAAAAAATGAGTTAGTTAGTCTTCATCTATATGATTCCTAATATTCTATTTGTTGTTCCCTAGTTTGAAGTGGTTAAGACTAGGGTTCTGATGCATGGTCATTATCGGTGTCATTCCTTAATTTTGTTGCTAAGGAATCCAATTTTGACTGACAAAGGGTCGCGCCTTTGGAAGGTGTTTCAACACTCCGAAAGGTATAAATAGCGGGACCATTCAATTAGAGTCGGATCCTTGTGATAAATGCAAAAATAACAACTGTAAAAAAATCGAATACTTCATCATTTCTCAATAATGATGGAGTAATACGTCATACACTAAACTAAGACACGGGATGTACTACAATAGATCAAATTACTGGTCGCAGTGGTGTTAGGTCCCGAACAGAGAAAAAAAAACTCGTAGAACTTCACTGTTTGTTAAACTGAAGTTCTCTGAAGCTTGCTGAATTTCCTTGAGCATTTCACTAAAGTTCACGGCAGTTCTCTCAGCTGACGTTTCCTTAGATGATCTCTCATGATACTTCTTTGAAAACTTCCATGAATTTTCCAGAGATTCGTTGAAATTCGTAGAACTTCCTTGAATTTGCTAAAACTTCCCTGATATTCGTCGAACCTCCCTGAAGCTCGTAAATTTTCCCTAACCTTCCCTGATAACTGTCCAAAAGTTCCCCTGAGAACTTTTTAAAGTTCCCTTAGAACATTTCTAAATTTCCCTGAGAACTGAAGTACGTAGGACTTCGCAAAAGTTCGTAGTAATTCTTTGAGAGCTACCCTTAAATTCGTTGAAGTTTCTTGAAATCAATAAAACTGTACCTGGAATTAGGAACCTGCTTCGTCTGGAACGTCATCAATCTCCGTCAAAATCGTGTGGAATCTGTCAAAACCGTTTGAAATCCCTGTCGGACTCGGCTGAATTTTTCGTTAGAGGCATCTGAAATCTCCATCGCAATCGTTCGGAACGTCCTCCGTTAGGAACGTCATCAATCTCAGTTTAAATTTTCTGAAATCTATGTCGAAATCATCCGGATTTTCCTCCATCAGATTCGTTTGGAACCTTCATTGGCAGAATTTGAAATTCTCCTCCGTCGGGAACGTCAGCAAACTTGCTTGAAATTGTCTGGCAACCATGTACAAATCTCCTGGTATCTCTTCTGTCGGAATCGTCTGGAACCTTCGTTGGCAGCCTCTAAAATCTCCATAGAAATCGTCTGGCGCCTCCTGGTCAGCAAACTTCGATGACATTGTTAACATTTTTGGGAATCTATGTCGAAATAGTCCAGAATCACCTGGAAACTTTAACTTTAACAATTCAATGTTTTCTATTTTCTCCATTGATGAATTTACAGTACATTCGCAGCTAGAACGTTTTTCTTTTCAGAATGTGTTCGAAACGAAAGTTCCATTCAGCAGTGGGGCAAAAGCTCACAAACTGTATGACAGTTTTTGTGCTTTGCCCCATGATTATGTGAAATACATAAAGAAATAACAAATTGGTGCCCAGATACTGTCTCAACTGGTAGAACATAATGGCTTTCCTCAATAAATGCAGTAGAATTGCTTGATATCACTGGGTTTGGACGATCGTTGTTCTTAACGGTTTGCTGTGATGTATGGGGCTCGGTGGTCTAGTGGCGACCGTTTTTTTTTTCGAATTGTGCAGAAGATCATGGGTTTTATCCTAAGGACCTTTACATTACTGAGTTGATAGGGTTGCATAATTTGCACGGTTCTGCTCATGAAAGCGTATTCAGCTTGACAAGTGGAAAAATGATCTTTTCATGAACAGAATTTTTAATTTTAACAAAACAAAAACTGCTTTTGATTGTTTTGAAAAAAGTTCCACGCTTCTTTTCACCTTTAAAGAGCACCGCAGGATCAAATTGATGCCGTTCCCTGTACGTTTTCGAGATTTTTTCAACTTCCTTATAGTTCAATGACCTGAAGCTCTCTGACCACTGTTGAAGTTCCCTGAACTTTTTTGAGATGCCACAATCTGTTCTGAAGATTTTTTTTAATTTCTTCGAAGTACCCAACAGTTCTACGAGTTTCTTCTGAACTTCTCTAATGTTCCCATGTGCTTCCCTTGTAAGTCTTTAGAGAGCCTTTCTGAAATTTTCTAGACTACATAGAAGCTTCTTCTTCGTCTTCTTCTTCTTCTTCGTCTTCTTCTTCTTATTCTTCTTCTTCTTCCTCCTCACATTTCAAGCTTATTGCGTATGGAATATTAGATTATTGCGTGCTCTCAACTTAGTGTTCTAGATGCACTTCCACAGTTATTAAGTGAGAGCTTTCAATGCCTGTACCATTTTTGCATTAGTATGGCAAGTACAATCATACTCTATGCCCAGGGAAGTCGAGAAATTTTCCAATTCGAAAAATTCCTAGACCTGACCGGGAATCGAACCCAGCCACCTCCAGCACGGTCTTGCTTTGTAGCTGTGCCTTTACCGACTGAGCTAAGGAAGGTCCCATAGAAGCTCCTACGTTTCCTAAATTTGTTCGATCTTTTGAAAAATTAAGAGATTTCCCTCAAGTTCTCTGAAGTTTACTAAACTTCTCAAAGAACTTCTGAGAGGATCAAGGAGCAAAAAATGCTGTGAAGCTCGGAGAACTTCTAAGAAGTTTGATGAACTGCATAAAGGTTCAGAGGACTTTGAAGATCAAACTTTTGAACTATTCCGGACACGGACTACCATACTAAACTCTGTAAAAGAACAGGACCCCAACTGGAGCCCCATCTTTTTCTGGAGATCCCCTTTTTGGTTTTTTTTCTTCTTATTCAAGATACAGCTGAAAGAATACTGAAACATCCAAGCACGTGCAGACATTCTTATGGGTGTTCAGAGAACTTCCAACAAGGTTGTGTAAGCCCTGAGTGGTTTTAAAGACTTAAGGAGTTTTGGTTGATTTCAGATAGGTTCCTGGAATTTCAGAAACGTTTTGAAAACTTCAGCAACCAACATTTGGTTACCTGATTTCTCGCAAAGTATATCTGTATTTCTCGCAAAGTAATAGGGTGGAGAACGGCTTCAGCGCCCCGAAACCCTATTCCAAGCCCGGGGTTTTTTCTTAAGAAAATTAATCGGAAGTATCTTGTCGCAGAAATTGACCGTTGAACGTAAATAATTACCTCATGCTCTCCACCCAAGATACTTTTATAAATTAAAACCTGATTCTTTAATCTAGTTGCATTGCATGAGTTGTTAAGTATCACTTCAAAAATCTTCACTTTTAGTGGCTTTAACCCTCGCATCGCAGTAAATCACACCCAACCCGGGAAGTGATTTCCTCTTCCCATTACAAAACCGTTATCCACCATTAGCGTTGTGTTAGCATCCGAATCTTCCACTCGTTGCATAAACATTCATGTCATTCCTGTTTAGAGTTGCTATATTGCAAACCGCTTTTGCGCATTCTACGGAGCTAGATACATTGCCATGCATACCCAGGCGAGTGTGGATTCGGTACCGACAATTTTCCAACTCCTGTTCCGGAAAGAATCTGCACATAAGCACACAGCATTGCTCCCGGCTGGCTGGTTGGTCGTCACTAGCCGCAGCCGCGCATCTACTAGCCAGAGAAGGTGAAAATGTTCTACACCACCCGAGAGCACCGAACGGGGACAGCATCGACGACACGTTGCTGTAACTAAGAGCAACCGGAACTCCATCCTCTCTTGCGTTTTGTTTAGATTTATCCGGTAGTCTGTCGATGTGTTAAATGTTGATACGATATTTAACAGCCACGCGGTGATGTGTTTACAGTGTGTTCGATTCGTAAGTTTTCCATCGATGTCGAATTTATTGGAAGTTTGTCCTTGAGTCAAGACCCGGAGCATTTATCACATACAAAGACTGCAAACTAATTCTGGAATACCGGAAGCCGCGTGAGGATGGTGGGGAGGAGCAGGGGATTCGATGAATGATGATTATGCACTCTCTTGGAAGAGCTAAGAAATTTCCGTACATGCTTTTGGTGGACGTTTTCGAAAAGGACAGGAGCGAGGACATTTTGGGAACGGGATGTTATTTAGGAAATTGCTTTTCAAGACCGAAAATGACAACCCGGTTCGTCGAAGCGATTTGTACGTGTTTGTGTGACTGTTGGCTACCCCTGGATGGGGTAGGCAAAAATATTCTGACAATTTTCTATGCGAGTGGGTGATGGTACGAGAGAGGTGGAGGGTATGCGAAACCATTAAAGGGGTCGGGTTGACGTTGAGGTGATTGAACATGGAAATTTTTGGGGGAAAGACTCTCTCCCTCTGCGTGTTGTGCGATGGACGATAAATTGTCGTTATGGTTGAGTGGGTTCACTGAGCTAATGAACGACGATGTTTTATGGAGGGAGTGACTCTAATGGAGAATTCTAACGGAAGGCTTTCTCCATTTAAGAAAGTGTTTCATAACGTTATAATTAATCCTATGTATTCACGTCAAATTTTCGCAGTTCTTCCAAGTACATGTCTTGTATGATGTCATCTATTAAGGCTCGATTTTCGTTCAGCTTTTCTTGGAACCACTCAAATTGTTCCAGGACCTCCGCTGGGTGGTTCCTATCGATGCGCTGGAGGTCCTGTTGAAGATGCTTGATCTTTTTATTTACAAAGTCTTCCAAACCACCGATCTGCTCATCCAGATTCATAATCTTCTCATCATTCTTTAGTTTATCATTCAGCGTATCCGAATGGAATGCTTCCATTTTCCTTCCAAGCTCCTCTATCGACCTCTGTTGCTGAATCATCCAAACATTAATACGTTGAAACTGATCGGTCAACGATTCGACTAGAAATTCACCGAAATCTTCCGGCTTCCCATCACAACAAATCCCAGCCACTTTATTGTCCAAACACTGCTTATCTCCTGCAACTTTGAGATCACCGTTCTTTAACGCCGGTCCCAAGGATCGTACTAGCCAAGCGCAGCTCCACCGGTTTCCTCCGAGTGCGGTAACGGACAACCTAGGAAAATGCTCCGGAAATCTTCCAATCGATCGAAACTTATTTAAAGCCAAATGAAACGTTCCCAAATTTGGAAAGTCCCACAGACTAACAAATAGAACTTCCAGCTGGTTCCCATACAGGTGGATCTCGGCTAGATTAGTTAGCTTAAGTGGAACCGTTGTATCCAGCCGGTGGATTTTGTTCCTATGGAGTGCCAGGATCTTCAGCCGGGATAGGTTCTTCAGCAGGTCCATGTTGACGACTTCAATCTCGTTATCGTGCAAATGCAACCGAACTAAATGCTTAAGGCAGTTGATGTTCTTCGGTACGGACCGTAAACGGTTGTAAGCAATTCCCAGATGTTCCAGATAGTAGTTATCTTCCGCATCTATAATCACTTCAAGCACTTGGTTCTTGTGAGCACTGAGTCTGGATAGGGTTGGCTTGATGTAGATTCGAGGAACAATTCCTGCGTCGATTTCCATTTGATCGACGACGATCATGCGTTTCAGCAGATCCGGCGAGAGGTAGTTGATGATCGGTTGTTTGAGGTTGATCAAACTTACGTTGGGAAAGGTGGCTGCGTTGATTTCGTCGATTGTCTGTAGTGTGACATTGGATACCGTACACCAATTTGCATTGATAACGTAGCTGCAGGTGTAATCGTTGGAACCGGAAATCCTGGCTATTTCAATCAGGAAACATCTGGAAAGAGAATTTAAACTCAATAAATCTGACATATAATTGATGCGATTCTTACAGCGTTGCAGTGAAAATAATACGACCCGACCGTGCCATCGTGTATAAACATTCTATCTCAACTGACCGAATATTCATGCCTTTTAAGTGATCCTCAAGAAATAAACGAAAGAGAATCAAGCTCTGACGGTCGGGTCGGTGATTCCCCGCATTTGCAACTGGGAATCACGAACCGGTTCACCTTTCTTATCTTGCCAGCTTTCAAGCAAAACAGTTGGCTGCAATGCTTCAACTTCAGTTGGTGCTGACTGATAAGTATGCTGATTTCTAATTACACACATTCATGCCAAGGACGAATGGCTCTAAACTGTCGACATGTGTATTGCACCGCTTCCGTTGTCAAACACTCATCTCGACAACGACGGCGTAATATTCAATCTGCATCCTGTCTGTCACACGAGCAAACCGAATCCCGGCTGAGGACGAAGATGCATTAGAAATGGAAATTATTTACATTACGTGCACCACTGTATCTTTCCACCGCCGCCTTGCACGTTACACGTGCGCACAACATGGAATCTCTGCGGTTGCAAGGCAACAACGTGGTGACGGCGAAGTGATGAATGGGAAAGTGGAATTCAATTAATTCTTCCTTTCTTCGTTGTGCCGAGCTACTGACAGTTAGTAGAAGAACGGAAGTGGATCCCAGCTCCGAAAGTACGCACGATACAGATGGGTGTGTTAATGAGTAACTGATTCAAAGTAATCAAATTATCGAGATATACAGTTTCGCAGATTTTCATATCTTTTCATATGAAATCAGTTTATAATTTCCTCCGGTGAGACTTAAATCATCATGACCCTCAAATAAGTTTTTGGAATTTTGGAATCTTAATTAGCCATACCCTGTCATACCCTATAACAATAAAGTTATTAACCAACGTTTCTCAATCTACGGGTGCTGCACGAGTTGTTCTCAGATGATGAAATATGGGCTGTACAGAATCACTGAGGGGCCTCCCTTAGCTCAGTCGGTAAAGGCGCAGCTACAAAGCAAGACCATGCTGGAGGTGGCTGGGTTCAATTCCCGGTCCGGTCTAGGATTTTTTCGGGTTAGAAAATTTCTTGACTTCCCTGGGCATAGAAGTATGATTGGACTTGCCACACAATTACACTGGAGTCGCTTTTTACGCGGTTTTTTTTACGCGGATTTCGGAATTTACGCGGTTTTTTTTTTACGTGGATTTTGGTTTTTTTACGCGTATTTCAGAATTAACGCGGTTTATCGTTATGCACTAGAGTCGCTTTTTACGCAGTTTTTTTACACGGTCTTTTTTTACGTGGATTTCAGAATTTACGCGGATTCCGAAATTTACGCGGTTTTTTTTTACGCGGGACGTATCACCCGCGTAAAAAGCGACTCCAGTGTATACCAATGCAAAAATGGTACAGGCATCGAAAGCTCTCAATTAATAACTGTGGAAGTGCATCTAGAACACTAAGTTGAGAGCACGCATATTAGCGATGTGCAATAAGCTTGAAATGCGAAGAAGAAGAAGAAGAAGAAGAAGAAGAAGCAGACACAACCACGTTAGTTTAGAGAATGGCAATTCGACAGTGAGCATGCATAAGGGCCTATACGCGATGATCGATTCTCTTCGTCGATGTTCTCTTTCGTTCATAACTCGCTAGATTTAACGTTTATCGGTGCGTTTGCTGTTGCTTTTGATAGCCAATACAATAGACCTGCTCATTTTAAACGAAATGTTCGGAATGTAACTGGTCAACCGTGATTACTGTTTGTCACGTTAATTTGAACTTCTGTATAAATGTTCAGCAAAATCGAACTATTCAAAATGTTCGTTATTTTATAAATTGCTGTTATGGTTCGAGTGACACTTGCCTTTGATAAAAAAACACGTCTACTGAGGATTCATATTTATGAAAAAATCATATATCAATGAAACAGTCATCGGTCGTCATTGAAAAGCAATGCAACTATGTTCTGTCAATCTAATTGACTTTTATTGGTTCTGTTGTGTTGTGAATTTTAGCTAAAACGGCCTCTTTTTCTGATTTTTATCTCTCAATCTATGAAATATACAAGAAAACTATGTTGGAACGAAACTTCTAGAACAATATTTGGAACATTATGCCGTACACTGCACATTTTTATATCATATGGGTGGAAAATTCGTAGAACAAATACTTTAAAATTCTTCACATTTTAAGATATCTTCGAGCATGAAACTAAGTCAAAATTCAATAAAATCACTTCGAATAGTCAACCTTTGGCCACAAAGTTGGTAGATAACACATTAAGCTTTGCTATGAAAGCTGTTACAGCAGCTTTCGTTGTTTCAGTCTCGAGATACAAATATTATAAGCCGTAAATTACCTTGAAAAAATTAACTAGAAGCACCTCTAAATCAACACCGATTTTGCTGAAAATTTGCACAAAAGTTCAATTTAACATGACGAACAGTAATCACGGTTGACCAGTTACATTCCGAACATTTTGTTTAAAATGAGCAGGTCTACAATACAACCTGTTACTACTCTGCATTGAACAAATTCTAGAAAATTGTTTCGCTTAGCTGTAGCAATGCAAAGAGAATCGATCATCGCGTATTCGCCCTTATGCATGCTCACTGTCGAATTGTCCATTGTGTTTATTTTAGTCACTTTTACACATGGGTTCGATTCCCGGTCCGGTCGAGGGAATCCTTTCGGGTTGGAAATTTTCTCGACTGCCCCGGGTATGGAATATTATTGTGCTTGCCACACAATATACAAATTCATGCATTGGTATTGGCAACGAAAGCTCTCAATTAATAACTGTGGAAGTGCATTTAGAACACTAAGTTGACAGCACGCAATAATGTAATATTCTATAAGCAATAAGAAGAAGAAGTAAACCCATTTTAGGTCATTCATGACTTGTCCGGGGATGAGATTTGAACTCGTGACTTTGGCGTGCGAGGTATGAATGTCAACCACTACGCCGGGGCCGTTCCCAAATTGATATCTTCACTGTAGCATTTCTCATATTCATTGTTTTCCTTCCACAATCCCTCAAGACACCAACTGTCCAAAATACTGTTGCTTCAAATGTATCAAACTCACAGCTGCCAGCAGTCAAAGAACGCCATTGCAATGCATTGTTACTTACTGTGAATCCCAAATAATGCACTTGCCTGCGCCCGTTTTGGCAAATCCATCCCACCCACCGCAGCCTCCCATCAGTAGGCGCCATTCACAAAGATCCCCACAAAATACAACTGCATAATAACTGTGAACTTTTCCTTTACACAAAGGCCACCAACTAGCCAAGATAGGATGACACAATAACAGCAACAACATCAGCAGCGTAGACCTTGGCATCTATATTTTTTCTCTGCCTTGTTGTTCCCTTCAAGTGTCTTTCGGATTCTGTCCGGAAGACGGGCCAGGCCGTCTCCGTTCAGCAGAAGGGGGGTTTTAATATTTCATTTCACTTGAAGTTTAGAGTAAAGCTCCCCGGTTTAGTGGGGTGAGGTAGCCAGCAGCAGTCCGAAGTTCTTCACTGGCAACGAAACAGACAAATGGAAATTTATCGTCGCTTCCTTCTCTGTGTTGCTATTTATACCTGTCTTTTGATCCGGGTTTTTTTTTCTCTCGGGTTGCTTCGGGTTCTTTTTTTCGTTCCTGGACTCTCGAGTCCTGATTTCAGTTGAGATGTCTCTCGTTCAGTGCTTTGAATGAGGATGATCCCGTTATACCGTCTCGGGGGTTGGGTCTTGATACCGATTATTTGTGAATCCGTTTTTTTCGGGTTGTGTTGTTTTTTCTTGCTGGGATTTTTTCAAACATTTAGGACAGTATTTGGATTTTGTACTTGTAGAAAGCATAGACAGTATTCCCCAAATGGGTGGTATGGAATTGGTTTGCTTTGCTTGTCTTGTCTGGAACACGCAATTTGTAGCCGGATATGTCGCAAAAAAGAAACCTGTTTGGAATGTCTCGATGAATTGGTGATAAAAAATACCCATCCTAGGTAACGTTTTTATCTTAGCTTTGTAAAATTTCATACCTTTTTTTCGTTTTATAAAATGCTTGTGTTCAAAGATTAGATCTTTAAGCTGGTAATTGATAAGTGCGTAAATACCTTGTAAGTATTTTTGCTATACGTTGTTTCTAATTTGTTTTTTTCTTTTCTTTTTTCAGGTAAGTCCACTTTACACATGCCTGAAACATTTTGGAAGTCGAAACGAAGCATTTTTTTGTAAGATTACTTGTATAAACAAAGTCTGTCGTTTTGACTTTCAAAATGAGGCCTCAGGTTTTATTTGTTTTCCTCGAACTTTGGTGACAACGGTAAGTGCTGTAGAATGCTGATATTTTTTTTATGTATATTGAGATGGTGGTCTGCCTGCTTCTTAGGAAACAAATTATTATTATTTTTTTATTTAAACAGCTGAAACATCCTAAACAAATCATTTGAAATGTCTCTAGAAGTCCTTTGGCACAATATAAAGGTGGTAAATTAGAAAATGGTATCTGGGTTGCATGAATCACGAGTTGCATCAAATGTATAATATGGCATGATACGGGCTTGCAGTATGGATGCCGCACCAAAGTAATATTCAGTAGAAAACTGCGACTAGGTCGTCTACTCTGAGTACATTCACTTTGAAGACCCTCTAGACTTGATTTGGAGACCGTCTAAACTCATCCTAGTTCTAAAGATGGCCCTCTGAATCAGTTCATTAGACACCTTCTGGATTGGTCTCGTCATCTTTCGTGGAAACCCTCTGGATTTGTGCAGGATAAACTTTGAATTTAGTTGCAAGTAGTAATTGCATTCTGGATCCATGCCTGACCTCATCGAGGTCCACTAGGTTTACCCTAGAAATGCGCTGAATTCAGCCCATCACCCTCTACATTTAGTCTAGGTTCACTGAACTCTCCACCAGACTTGCCCTTTAAGTAATTCGTTCTTACATCTGAGGATCTGGCTTGCTCTAGAGGTGCTTTGGTATTACCCTAGAGATCTTCTGGTATTGCTCAAGAGTTCTTCAGGGCATGTCGATTGAGCTCTTCACCCTAAGATCTCTTGGTTTTGCTAATGTTGGCTCAAAGTTTGCTTTT